GTCATGTTATACATGGGATAGTTCCCTTAGGATGTATACAGATATAGTACTCAACCGATTTATAATGATTAATTTATTTGATTCTCTGATTTGGGTCATAGTAGAGAGGACTTGCTCGTGGGGTTGACCCACCATTGTTGTTATTTCAGGATACGGTCAGTACCCGTTCCAAGGTTGAGGTTAGTAGTGTGGGACCACCATCCGAACTCATCTACTCTTACGATCCAGTTCAGGGTAGAAGTTTTATGTATTACTTCAGTTTCAGTTTTTATTTACTTTTGACGTTGAACTCTCAGGGTTATATTTAGGGATCTTTGACATAGGATTTCCAAGTTGTAATGAAGTACTGTATTAAATAAAGGATGGATGGATGTTGTATTATTTAGTGTTCCTTTCTTGTCTAAATTCTTTTATTATCATCATTTTGTATTCCATGCTTGTATATTGCCAATTGTTTTTGATATCCCTCGTTTTTCGTGTATAAGCCTGATCAACTTATGCGTGGAAAATGTGGGGGTGTTATAATGCTCATGTGTATGTCCCGCTCCAGTGGTCCCAGAGTAAGTGAATATGTAAGAATATTGCATTTCTTGGTGGCTAAGTCTAGAGCTGAATGGAATTTGCAGCATTGTAGTGTATATGTGTACTTTAGTGTGCAAAGGGACAAATCTACTGAGGTGGCCTTCTATGATTGGCTCTTGCTCTTGGAAATATTTGCATTGCACTGTGTCAATGATTGGCTTGAGGTGACAGGTGTAATCTATGGGTGTATGAAGGTCTGTGCATTCTGAAAATCCATATATATATGCTGTTATAGCCTTTTTAGGGTTTTTAGCTTTGTGAGAGAGAAGTGTTTTTGAGCTGCAGCTTGCATTAACTCGAGAGCCTTGAGTGAATAAGTTTGTCTGAAGCTTTTGATGATGATTCAAGTCAGAAAAACTTACTGATTCGAGCTATGTGATAGTTATAGAAGAGAAGAGGTTGCTGCTGCTATTTTTCACTGCTGCAAGGGTTGAACTGAGTATTGGATTTTAGTTCCAAGGTGCTGAGGTCTATTCTGAGAGTTGACATAGGTATCAATCAGCTTTTTACACTTGCTCAGTACTGTAATATTGTTGAAATCATGCTGAAATCAAAAATGGACAGTGAGCTCATCTGTTAGACTATTTTTCTGAGTTTTTCATGGATTCAAGCACTGATTGATTATGACTTGCTGTATGATAAGCTTTTAATCCTCTAGCAAGTGTATTTTGATGAATCTTGCATGTTGAAGTTGGATTTGTGATAGAAATTTGGTCTGCAGCATTTTTCAGTTCTTAACCCTTAGTCATGGAATGTGTTTTTGCTGAAATAAGGGTAATATTGGTTCTATATGCTAAACTCAAGCTGCACTTCAGTGATTAAAAGTCACGAACATGAGTACTACAGTGAATGAAGACTGAGTATGAAGCTATTGAATTAATCTCGAAAGGAAATTACCTTTTTACCCCTCAAGACATAAGTGCTGAAAAATTGGTATTATGAAGTGGTAAATTGAAATTCTGAGTTGTCAGTTTCATTTCAATTGAAGAGAGGATTTGTGATTGTTGTTTTACATTTGTTATAATGTATATGGTGAGCTTAGAGTGCTTGTTTGGTCCTGGCAGGGTTGCCTAGGACAGGGGGAGTGTTTGTATACACTTTGTTGAGCTAGTGTGTGAAGTGAAGTATGTGAAAACTGGTGTCTACATCTGATACAAGGGTGTGTGCAGAGTGTGAGACAGCTGAGTGTGTAACAGCTTACTTACAACTAGTGGATGCTTGCATTGGCTGAGGCCAAGACCCAAGGTTTTCCCTAATTGAAAGGGTTTCCTTGTAAAACCTGTTGCTTTGCAGTCTATACTTGTTTTATGCTATTTTCTAGCTTCATTTGAAGATGGTTTGACCAATTCAAACCCCCCCCCCCCTCTCGGTTCAACACTCTTCCACATAGGAACCCTACTATAATTGCAATTATAGTGGTCAGTGAATTTACACAGGTGGGTTTTCTCCATGGCGGATTATGAATTAGGCGGGGGATGGGCAATTGGCATGCTTACTTGTTGGGATGAGAAAGGAAATCTTTCCTCACACTAGGCTTACTTCATTGGGCTTTCAAGGTCAGGTAGCCCAAGAGAATTATGGTGAAAAAATGCATCTTGATGAGGTGGTTGACTTTAATTGGACAGTGATATTTTTTCCCCTACAATTAATAACTTTGTTCACTAACTTGCTGACTAGGCGCTGAGATGGATCCAAGTAGGCATTGACATGGCAAAGGAGCTAAGGTTGGTTTGATCTCAGCAATTAGATCCTCACTGAACAAAGTCTTGAGAGGCGCACTGGAACGGATTTTTGTCCCATTTTTAAGGGTGTTAGTGATGAAAAAGTAAAATTTGGTGATAATGATTTTTGAAAGTTGTAGGCAAAAAAGCATAAACCCCCCCTCAATTATAAAAATCAGCATTTTACCCCCTGAACTACACAAGTCAGTACCACAACTATAAAAAAATGTGCAACTTGCCCCCTGTCTGGCTACTTTCCAGCCAACTACTCTAGCTTTTGCAAAATTGCTCTTCAATGTGACTGTAATAACCCTTTTTCCTGTAAGAAGCTTTTTCTATTCGTTTTAACAAACACATATGAAGTAAAAAGTTTAGGTGCAATTAGGTGTTTAGTATTATATGTGCTAATTTATTTTAACTTCTATAATTAGGAATTTAAAGGATCACAAAAAACAAATAATTACTAGTATTTTCTTATAACTAAATTAAAGTTTTTAATTCTCTTATTTAAAAACATATTTTAAAAATGGTTGCTCTGTACACATTGATTTGATAATCAATTGTCATACCTTTAATTAAGAAAAATAATAAATAAACAAAGTTAGGATTTCATTTCAATCTCCTTAAAAGGATAGTTCCATAACAGTACTTCTCAACTTAAGACACCAAATATATTTATATACATACATAATTGCATACACAAAGAGAAAACATAAATGAAATTAATGAAGCAATAATGTCCCTTTGATGATTTGTCGTTCATGAGAAGAGCTAGCTCAGAAGGTAAATGTGATTCAAAGGAGGTTGAGGAGTTGTACGGAACCAATTTGCCTGCTATTGAAGCAAATGAAATCGAAGAAGAAGCGAAAGAGATATAAGAGATCACGAATCTGATAGCATAAACTTATTATATCATTGTAATACGGAGAAAATTAGCCTGAAATCGCGAATAGTTTAATTTAGGCTTGTTTCTCCGGAGGAGAAGAAACTTTTCCGGTGATACAAAGACTTTACTTACAGGTAGGTAATTGCTAAACTCGAGGGTACTCTGTTTCGGCTTTGACTTCCTCTGTCTTCTTGATTTCTTCAACACCACGAGAAATGAACAATTCTTTATCGAGGGCAATCATAGCAAAATTTTCCTTACCGGTGATCATGATTTTTAAACTCTTCCAATCATAGCAATCTCCCCACCCCCCCCCCCCCCCCCCCCCCAAAAAAAAAAAAAAAAGAAACCTTAGAAATCATAGTTCAGAGCCCCTAAATCACAATCGCACTCACAAACCCTAGCATCGCGACCTTGCCTCTTCTCTTCTCTAAGCACCTAATGCCTCTCAACTAAAATCCTTTGAAATTTTAACAATTTTAGCAATATAAGAGGCATATATATAGCATGAGGGATATTGAAGGTATTTCACAAATTTAGTTTTATTTATCTTTTTTTAAATACTATAATGGGCATTTTAGTAAATGTACAATGGCGTCGACCGAAAATGTGCCGGAAGTGACTAGCAGGAGGCCAACATGCACGTTTCTGATAGTTGTGATATTGACTTGCTTGATTTTATAGTTTAGAGAGGTAAAATGCTAATTTTTGATTGTTGATAAGGATTCTATATTTTTTTTGCAAAAATTGTATCAACGTGATCCTTGTCCAAATTTCAAGGGTGTCACAAAAATCAATTCTATAATCTTAGAAATTTCTTCGTGATTTCCCGAATTCACTTTTTGAGGAAGTGAATCAAAACAAATTGCAAAAATTGTATCAACGTGATCCTTGTCCAAATATCAAGGGTGTCACAAAAATTAATCCTATAATCTTAGAAATTTCTTTGTGAATTACCGAATTCACTTTTTGAGGAGGCAAATCTAAACAAATCCTATTTAATTAGGTTACACCCTTTTCAATCAAGCAAAAGCCACCTTTCCAATGCAAGTGACACCATGCATGTGAAGTGCGTCCCACTTGATGGGCTTTGGGCAAAATGATAGGGTTTTATGATCTTATCACATGAAAGAAAATCTAAGACACAAGGCTTGAAACCCAATCCTTTACCATATTTTGTCGCTGGCTACTAATTATACTATTTCATTTATTTGAAATAGATTTTGAAATGCATTATCAAAATATATATATATCAATTTAAAAAAGCGGAAATAATAAAATTTAATAAATTGATATAATCATATTTCATTGAGGTACATATATATAATATATAAAAAAAATTATCATGAATTATTATATGGTCTGTAACTAAATAATTCTTAAACTTCATTTCAAAAAATTATTATATGATATCTTGACCAATCATAACATGACACGTAAAAAAAAAAAAATAAAACTAATACATTTTTTATTGTGATTTGATAAAGAACATATAATTCAAGCAGAATAATTTCAATGTGTTTAGTGCACCAGGCACATAATAATTGTGAACGTGTAGATATAAACAGTGGCCCCGTGCACAGTCCGACAAGCACATTAAAAAAATTTCTCTTAGTATTAAACCATATAACAATTTATCCCCCTGTTTTTGTATAAAGTGTGCTTGGCACGTGCAATATCTATTCGATTATACCATCCCGTCGTTATTGATTCTCTTTGTTGTGCCTTTTAATGGTTTTGTAGATCTGGAATTGATTGGATTGGATTTTTTTAATGCTCTGTCCGTTTCTCAGCCAGCAAAGCCCATCATTACACCACTTGCACTCTCTATCTCCAATCATTCAATATTTTTGATGGTGCTTGGAGATATTCGCAACTCTGTACTAGAAAGCCTATATCAACCATAAATCATAAACAAAAGTTCATCTTCTTCTCATATTGTAGTAGTAAAAAAAAAAAAAAACTAAGAATGAAGAAAGTAGCAGAGCTGTTGTTCATCCCTTCGCCCGGATTCAGTCACCTCACATCGGCGCTCGAGATGGCCAACCTCCTCATCCGGCGCGACGAGAGGCTCTTCATTACAGTCATCATAATGAAGTCGCCCTTCGATTACAACACAAACATTTCCCAACCAATGTCTGAAGACCTGAACTCACGCATACGCTTCGTGGAACTTCCTTACGACGAATCAAATTCAGAACTCTTGTCCAAGTCCGTTCTCCACTTTCTTGCCGCCCTTATAGAAACCAACAAGACTCAAGTGAGAGATGTTGCTGCCGGAATCGAAACCAATAATAGGCTAGCCGGGTTCGTTATTGACATGTTCTGCAGCGGCGTGATTGATGTGGCCGACGAGCTGGGGGTCCCAACCTACGTCTACTTCACTTCCAGTGCTGGTTTCCTTGGTCTCATGTTTCATCTCCAGTCCATCCAAGATGACCAAAGCAAAGACGTTACTCAGTTCAAGGACTCGGATTCTGAGTTGTCACTTCCGTGTTTTGCCAATTCATTTCCGTCTAAGGTCTTGCCTTCTGTGGTGCTGGACAACCAAGATGAGTGCAGGTTGTTCCTAAGACATGCCCAAATGTTCAGACGGACTAAGGGCATCTTGGTCAACACGTTCGTTGAGCTAGAATCCTATGCAGTGAGGTCCCTATCTGACGGGAAGACCCCGCCAGTCTACCCGGTGGGACCTATATTCAACCTCAAGAATGGTGAGGGGAACCACCGATCCGATGCTATTATGAGCTGGCTCGACGATCAACCACCGTCATCAGTGGTGTTCTTGTGCTTTGGGAGTATGGGAAGCTTCGGTAAGGAAGAGGTGAAAGAGATTGCTGATGCACTAGAGCACACTGGCTACCGTTTCTTGTGGTCCCTGCGTCAGCCTCCACCGAAGGGAAAGGTAGAGGCCCCAAGGGAATACGAGAATCCGGAGGAAGTCCTGCCGGAGGGCTTCTTGGAGCGAACGGCGGGGATGGGGAAAGTGATTGGTTGGGCGCCGCAAGTGGCGGTGCTGTCACACCCTGCGGTGGGAGGGTTTGTGTCACACTGCGGGTGGAATTCTATTTTGGAGAGCGTGTGGTGTGGAGTGCCCATAGCGGCATGGCCTCTGTACGCAGAGCAGCAAATCAATGCTTTTGAAATGGTGAAAGAGTTGGGGCTAGCAGTGGAGATCAAGATGGACTATAGGAAAAATGTGAGTAAAGATATCAAGCAAGAGCCTTTGACGGCGAAGGAGATAGAGACCGGGATAAGAAAAGTTATGATGGACGGGGAAATTAGGAAGAAGGTGAATGAGATGAAAGAAAAGAGCAGAGAAGCCATGACGGAGGGTGGGTCATCCTACATTTCTCTGGGATGTCTGATTGAGGACGTGATTAAGAATATGGAGTTCCACACTCAAAAATCCGTTGAACATGAATAAAGGACGCCTCTGATCAGTGCATAGAAATACACTTTTCCAAGTTCGATGGTTGGTGGTCTTCACTTCTTTTCAACTAGAATCAGGTTCTCCATGAGCTGCATTGGAAGTCCAAAATAGGAAGTTAAATCAGTAATGATCTATCACATGCATCATCAGTTTTGTTTCAATAAAAGATATATTAACATTGGCCACATACTTGTATACGATGTGTGTGTGTGTATATATATATATTGCAATTATTGCTAATCTTATTGTATTGAAGTATTTTCCCATTATGAGATGACCAATCACATGAAAAGCAAAGGTCAATATTCCAGAAAGTTAACCTCTCTCTCACACACACACACGAACATGGAGGGGAGGAGAAGTCTAGTTATGTGCCTGTAAACACGTTATATAAATTCTTTGATAATGTTGATAATGTGGCTTGTATATAATACATTTAAAAGCACGTGCAGATTTATCTGATAGTGTGGACCTAACTTTTATTTTCCGGTCTTGCTTTACATCAGAACAAAGACAGCACAAAATACTCTTAAACAAATAGCACTCTTTTACGGCTGTAATCTAGCGGTACTTTTTCACCTTCTAAAAATACCATTCTTTTACATCTTCTCCCTCTCCTGGATATTTTGGTTCCAATTACTACCGTGGTACTTCTTCACCTTCTAAAGATATCATTCTTTTACATCTTTTCCCTCTCCTAGATACTTAGATACTTTGGTTCCAATTATATAGAACTCGGAAGAAACAAATTCACTACATAAGGACATAACAGAGTACTAAAGCTATCGTGAAAATATTGAAATTAAAGTACAAGTTAAGTTGGACAGCAAACACAAGAAAGAGTAAAGCAATACCAAACAAAGTCTCTTCCCAACTATTTAGGGATGTTTACGGTATCTTATATTTTTCATTCTATTTTATTTAATGTCATAGCCCTGTTAAAAAAAAAAAAAAATTATAAAGATCAATCACCCTTGCGAATCTGAGATTTAAAAGGAAACAATTTCACCCAAAAACTTATAGATCCAATGGACTGATTCAAATCCGAGTCAAATTAACTATTTCTATTCAATCTTCTCTTATAATTCAAGATTAAATGAGATATTCTAGTGCATTGTTTTCCACTCAAACTTCAAATTTAGTTGTACTAAAAGAAGCTTAAATTCTATATTGTGTTGTTCGTAAAATATGTTTGGCTGACATTGTTAACAACAGCGTTTCCTTGTGCAAAATTTAAATCAGTCCGACGTATACACGGGCTTGAAGTTTCAATAACCAAAAAGAAGAAACAAAAAATTCTATGCAGGCCAAAGAGAACCATCATGCCAAATAAAAATATAACAACTATAGTTGACAAGGGTAGTTCTATTGATAATTAGAACTGCAATTGTATAATGTAACTCAAATACTTGAACGACTACTCACTCAAACAGGAGTTACTCACCATTTGAGAATTGAGAGGGATTACTTCACTCTATGGATTTTCAAAAGCTTTTCATAATGGAGAGTTTTAATTACCAATGGTCAATAACCTAGTAGTATCAGTCTTTTACTTCTTAAAGGAAGGTCAAGGGTTTTAAATAAGTGTGTGTAAATACCAACCGGAAAAAAATAAAAAATAAAAAAATAAATTCAATTATACCAACCCCATTCAGAAAAAAAAATTAACCAAAAACAAACTGACTTGTAAACAACAACCCATACCTTTTCATTCTTAACTCCTCCAATTGTGTCTGCAAGGACACTAATTCAACCGTTGTAACCCTAAAACTCAATGAATAAAAAATACAGTATTCATCAGATTTTGAACCAATTGGCGACAAAATAAGAAATAAATGAATTTCAATAAACCAAAATCTCTTGATCTCGTTGTTTTGGAGGTCCGGAACTGTGAGGGAATGTATAGAGTTCTGGTCGTGGGCCTCGTGGCAGATGCACCGAAATTCTCACTCTCTCCCTGTGTGCAACTTTTAGGTTCTAATTTACCATCAGAAGTTCAGAACATGTTTGTTTGTGTTTGAGCTTTTATTAATACTAGTAAAACAAGTTAAAAATGAATTTATATAATCTTATTAAGCTATATACCAATAATTAAAAAATAGAACTATTATTTTTACCACTCTAATATTTATATGCACTCTTCAAATTACACTTCTTTGCAGCTATTGACACAACATACATGTGAATGAATAAATAGAAATGTGAATGTTAAGTGTATATATATATACACTCCTATTGCACATCAAGAAGAAATTTATCCACATCAAACATAATGACATTAGATAATTTGGTTTCAATTATATAGAATTCGGAAGAAACAAATTCACTACATAAGGACATAACAGAGTACTAAAGCTATCGTGAAAATATTGAAATTAAAGTACAAGTTAAGTTGGACAGCAACCACAACATATATGAGGGTCAAACACAAGAAAGAGTAAAGCAATACCAAACAAAGTCTTTTCCCAACTATTTAGGGATGTTTACGGTATCCTATATTTTTCATTATATTTTATTTAATGTCATAGCTCTGTTAAAAAATAAAAAATAAAAAAAAAAAATTATAAAGATCAATCACCCTTGCGAATCTGAGATTTAAAAGGAAACTATTTCACCCAAAAACTTATAGATCCATTGGACTGATTCAAATCCGAGTCAAATTAACTATTTCTATTCAATCTTCTCTTATAATTCAAGATTAAATGAGATATTCTAGTGCATTGTTTTCCACTCAAACTTCAAATTTAGTTGTACTAAAAGAAGCTTAAATTCTATATTGTGTTGTTCGTAAAATATGTTTGGCTGACATTGTTAACAACAGCGTTTCCTTGTGCAAAATTTAAATCAGTCCGACGTATACACAGGCTTGAAGTTTCAATAACCAAAAAGAAGAAACAAAAAATTCTATGCAGGCCAAAGAGAACCATCATGCCAAATAAAAATATAACAACTATAGTTGACAAGGGTAGTTCTGATTGATAATTAGAACTGCAATTGTATAATGTAACTCAAATACTTGAATGACTACTCACTCAAACAGGAGTTACTCACCATTTGAGAATTGAGAGGGATTACTTCACTCTATGGATTTTCAAAAGCTTTTCATAATAGAGAGTTTTAATTACCAATGGTCAATAACCTAGTAGTATCAGCCTTTTACTTCTTAAAGGAAGGTCAAGGGTTTTAGATAAGTGTGTGTAAATACCAACCAGAAAAAAATAAAAAATAAAAAAATAAATTCAATTATACCAACCCCATTCAGAAAAAAAATTAACCAAAAACAAACTGACTTGTAAACAACAACCCATGCCTTTTCATTCTTAACTCCTCCAATTGTGTCTGCAAGGACACTAATTCAACAGTTGTAACCCTAAAACTCAATGAATAAAAAATACAGAATTCATCAGATTTTGAACCAATTGGCGACAAAATAAGAAATAAATGAATTTCAATAAACCAAAATCTCTTGATCTCGTTGTTTTGGAGGTCCGGAACTGTGAGGGAATGTATAGAGTTCTGGTCGTGGGCCTCGTGGCAGATGCACCGAAATTCTCACTCTCTCCCTGTGTGCAACTTTTAGGTTCTAATTTACCATCAGAAGTTCAGAACATGTTTGTTTGTGTTTGAGCTTTTATTAATACTAGTAAAACAAGTTAAAAATGAATTTATATAATCTTATTAAGCTATATACCAATAATTAAAAAATAGAACTATTATTTTTACCACTCTAATATTTATATGCACTCTTAAAATTACACTTCTTTGCAGCTATTGACACAACATACATGTGAATGAATAAATAAAAATGTAAATGTTAAGTGTGTGTATATATATACTCCTATTGCACATCAAGAAGAAATTTATCCACATCAAGCATAATGACATTAGATATGATTGTTTTGTTTTTTTTTGTTTGGTAACTGTTTGAGCTTTTATTAATACTAGTAAAACAAGTTAAAAATGAATTTATATAATCTTATTAAGCTATATACCAATAATTAAAAAATAGAACTATTATTTTTACCACTCTAATATTTATATGCACTCTTCAAATTACACTTCTTTGCAGCTATTGACACAACATACATGTGAATGAATAAATAGAAATGTGAATGTTAAGTGTATATATATATACACTCCTATTGCACATCAAGAAGAAATTTATCCACATCAAACATAATGACATTAAATATGATTGTTTTGTTTTTTTTTTTTTGGTAACTACCTTTTTTATACTTGAATCATATCCAGTGGTCATTTTGTTTAATGTGAATAAATTTCTTGCTTATTGGTATGTAAGAAATCATTTCCATATAAATATATACACAAAAACTTTAGCTCGTGTCAAACATTCAATATAAACAACCATGCACTTGGACTTAATAGAGTTATCCAGAATGGGCGCTGTAGGCCCAAAATTCTGAAAAGAAAAACAAAACATGCAGATCTTATTGGATCGGTCGGACGATCTCATACATCTTTATATAGTCCTATGAACTAACTTCTAGTTTTTGAATTCTTGAAAACTACTTTTAGAATATTAAAACAATCACACCCCAAAACTCATATATCTACCATTGGAGATGTTCTTACAGGGTAAAAAGTTACGAGATAGAGGCAAACCCAAGCAACAGTTGGATATGCAACCTTGCCTCCTTAATGCAAGACCAAAAATGCAAATTTTGTTAAACATTATAGAACCAAAACTAATTGTTTCGGTCTTGACAAGGACATCGTTGGCTACGAGCCTCATTTCTCCACTTAGGAATTGTGCACGCCCATGGGATGGGGCGGGTCTATGGAATTTTTTTCCCTTGTTAGATGTACCCAGTAAGGGTTTGATGGGATTGACTGACTTTATTCCCACGGAGGGAGGCGAAGTCTTTGGTTTTAAGTAGTGCTTGTTCTGAGGGTGGTCGTGACCAGTGGGATGTAAGGCATGGGTTGCCGAGTAGTGATTGTGTGTTCCTATTTTTTGATGCTAGTGGTGACGGCTAGGGGATGTATTGTGAATCGTAAGTTCAAGGATGATGTGGGTCATGTACCCGGACGTTTTCATAGATGTTTGGTTTGGCAGTTTCTTGAGGACAAGTGTTGGTATCGTCTTAGGACTATGTGATTAGAGAAATGAATATAGGACTCCTTTAAAGGGAGATTGTGATAATTGATTATGGGTTGAGATTCCAAGAATGAGAAGTTTTACGAGGTGTTTTGACGAGGTATGAACTGAGTCGAATGATGTCATGGGATTTTTCTCTAGTACGGATTG